CCTGTGGAAGCTCAGCCTTTGAGTTTAAATGGCTTGTACATGTAAATGGCTATTTCTAGCCCACCATTGCCCCCCAACCAAAGAACCATTGCTTCTTTAGGGTCTGGGCAATGATTATTCAGAACTCATGTAAAGGAGCTATAATCAGGAGAGTGAATACCAGAGGCCCAAGGAAGGTAGGACAATGTGGGGAAAATAGTCAGCTCTCAGGAGCTCTGCAGGAGTGAAAGGAGTGGCAATTTTCAACCTCTCCACTGGTGCTGCCCCAGAGAAACCCAGGGGAGTAGGGTCGTGTGCCTGCGGCCACAGCATGCCCACTCTGAGGTGTCTTCAGGATTACCAGATGGATTTAGAAACATCAGAATGCTATTTTGGTACCTTTGGTGGCTGAATGGAAACTGCAGCTTTTCTTCCTGGTGATAAAGTGTTGAGTAAATATTTATGGAGTGACACCTTTTGTTTCTCCTCCCCACCTCCCAGGGTGGTGCGAAATTTGTGTGTGTAAAGTTTCTCTAGGAATGGTACTTATCATCCATGCAGATTTACCTTTGTAAAAAATATATTTTTTATTAATATCAGAGAAGAAGGGAGAGGGAGAGAGAGAGAGAAATATCAATGATGAGAGAGAATCATTGATTGGCTGCCTCCTGTATGCCTCCTACTGGGGCTCAAACCCACAACCCGCTCATGTGCCCTGACCAGAATCGAACTGTGACCTCTTGGCTCATAGGTTGCCAGCCAGGCCCGATTTACCTTTTGTTATAGCTTGTCTTCCTTACTAGATTTTTTTCTTTTATTGTTACGGAAAGTTTCAAGCATTTACAAAAGTAGAGAGAAAAAAGCAAATGAGCCCTCTCATACCTATCATTTAGCTTTAGTACTTCTCAATATTTTGCCAATCTTATTTAATGTATTCTCCCATTTTTGATGTGGGGCTGGCCTATTTGAAAACAGATCACAGACATAAAAGTCTAAGAAAGGATTGAAATAAACTCTGAGTGTAAGGACTTTACCTCAGTTCCTTTGTATGCCTGGCACTGTAGCTGAAAATAGCAGGTGCTCAGAAAAGACAGGTTGAATTGAGAAGAGGAAACACAAAATTATGAAAACATTTTTGAACTAACTCTAGGGCAAACTTCTAGAAAGGAAAAGGGTGGCAAGTCTTGCCCTAAAATAACTTCTTTCATGTTGCCTGAATTTGTTTTCTCCAGCCACGATGCCTCTTTCCTTCAAGAGAACCTTGATTGAAATAGAAAACTCTCTTCAGAGAGAGTTCAGGGTCTCCCAGTTTTTAAAATTTTATTGTAAGTAAGTCTATTCTGATCACATTTTTCCCAAACACCGATCAGAAGTTATCTGCCCTAAAAAGAACTTTGGTTAAAAAAAAAAAAATCATCTTTTTTATTATTATAAGAATAACATACACTAATTGAAAGAAAAATAGAGGAATAGAAAGTGAAAATCATCTGTATTTCAGTATGTAACTCCAGAGATAACATTATCTTTATTAGCACTCTAGTAAAATTTGAGCACAAATCACATTAATAATCAATCAATAATTTATAGCATATACCAGGTGTGTCTGTGTATATACTCTCATTAAATTCTTACAGCAACTATCGTAAATTTCCTTTTTTAATCATTTTCTAGCTGGGGAAACATGCCTAAAGGGATTGTCTTCAGTTACTTGGCTGATAAACAGGCTGGGAAGGAGAGCTCTCTTGAAAGACAGCTGTGTTAGAGACTATTCGCACCTTGGATATTTATTCATAGGCCACAAATATCTCACATGTGAGCTTCCTTCGTGCTGACTCCCTGAATAGTCAGTTTTGAGGAGAGCATTAAGACTAGAAAAAGTGAGAAGTGATTATTTTTAACTGGATTCAACACAGTCTCAATAAGCAGGGTCAGCAATGAAGAGCTAATTATTAACTAACTAGAGGCCCGATGCACAAAATTCGTGCAAGAGTAGGCCTTCCTTCCCCTGGTTGCTGGCACCTGCTTCCCTTAGGCTTCCCTCTGGCTTCTGGCACCTGGGACCCAGGCTTCCCTCACAGCCCTGGCTTCGTCTGGAAAGTCATCTGGTCTAATTAGCATATTGCACTTTTATTATTTTAGGTCATAAGGATGGCCCTTGCTTTTATAATAAATTTCTTACCTTTTAACAAATTAGGCTGCAATTCAGCAGCAGCAGTCTATGCCTATTTCTAGCTCACTACTTGGGTAGGTTTTTAACTCTCTCTAAAAGATACTCCCTCCTTTTATAGAATGTGTGTGTGTGTGCACACTATAGTTCTGTGATCACAAGTCCCTTCAGGCAGGTGAGTGTCCCTATTAGGGGACCATCCTTCCACAAACAGCTCTTAACAAAACAGTCTAGATTTTCTAAGATTTAGATTTCAATGAAAAGCTATTGGCAAGCCTAGCATTTGTGCTTCCTGCCATTAAGTCCACAAGAGGTTGTCTGATTGGCCCCAGGAATCTGCAGACTTAACTGGAGGGAAGAGAAGAGACCTCAGGAAGCCGTTGAACAAACAGGCTCAAGGAAAGGACGGAAGGATGTGGGAGAGAGATAGGAGTCTGCTGAAGAAAACTCTGCATATGGCCAGGGTTTGTGTTGGGGGCACCCAAGCCACAACGAAAGAGATTGAAATGTCCATGTGTGCCCTAACCTGTTTGGCTCAGTGGATAGAGCATCAGCCTGTGGACTGAAAGGTCCCAGGTTCGATTCTGGTCAAGGGCATGTACCTTGGTTGTTGGCACATCTCCAGTAGAAGGTGTGCAGGAGACAGCTGATCCATGTTTCTCTTTCATTGACGTTTCTAACTCTCTATCCCTCTCCCTTCCTCTCTGTAAAAAAAATCAATAATATATATATAAAAGAAGTGTCCATGTGAAGGATATGGCAGAAGCCCAGGCTATGGGGCTGACCACGTTGGCTCAGATCCCAGCTTCACCACTTAATACTTGTGTGTCTTGGGCAAGGTCTTTAATCTCTCTAAACCTTAATTTTTCTCATCTATAAAATTAGGAGACTAATAATTCTTAGCTCATAAAGTTGAAATGAGAATTAAATAAGGTGATAAAGTGATTTAACCACATTACAAGGTACAGAGAAAATGCATAAATAAACCACTCTTATTAGCTGTTATTACTGTTAATTTCTTAGGTACCTTTAAAACTAAACACAGGTCATACTGTTTAATTGCTTGCTGGGTCAAAATCTCTCTTTTGTGGTTTGACCCAAGAACCTAACCTCCATCTATTACGGTGTATCTAGAGAGAAATGCTTTCTAGGCTTCCCTCAAACTAGCCTACAGCTACATTTTGAAATACTACCCTTAGTAAGTATGAGGCCCTTTTGAAAGTTGCTAAGACTTTGTTTTTATTTTTCATGGTAAATTACCACATCCCCACATCTCATTTAAAAGCGACTTTGTTTTCAGTATAAAAAGACAGAAGTGGATCATACAAAATTTGGAAAAGGAAAGAGAAAAATTACCCCCTTGGCTAATCTCATACTCCTGATATAATTATTGCTAGCTTTTGGCTATATTTTTTTTCTAGAGTTTTCTCATCTCTATATATTAGTGGTAACCATACACACATATGGAGCTTATTTTCTCTGTTTCTTTTTTTGTTGCTTAAGATTTAATCATAAGCGTTTCTGTGTTATCACTTGGTATAGAAAATATTTTGGTATTCATTCTATTTTTGTAATTGAAGATATGTTTGGCTATAGAGATTATTACGCCCTGGCTTTAGCATTTCTGCGTTCTTCTGTTAACATGTTTAGAATTTGAGGAGAGGCGTGGTCTTGGCAATGCAGGGAGGATGTGAGGTATTGCTACTCACCACCTCGCCTTCATCACCTTAGTGCACTCGCCATGGTCCAGCCAGGCCCTCAGCTATGTGGCCTCAGAGATGAATTCATACTTAGGTGTGAAATCAGCATGCCAGTTTATCAAAGGACATGAAAAACATAGGAAGATGGTTCTGTCAACCCCCAGTGTGTCTGCCTGTTGGCCATCCCTAACCTAGAGTTACTTAGAGTAAAGCATAGAACAATACCAACAGTGATTGTCACCAGTGGGTGCCTCCCGTACACCAGGAGGTGGGCTAACTCGTGATGTATGAATATAGTAGGTTATCCAGTCCCACAGTAACCTCTCTGGGTAGGTATTCTATTTATCCCTATTCTTATAGATCAAAAGACAGGTTTCAGGGCCAATATGTGGTGGAGCTGTAGTTTCTGTCTGAATCAAAGCCCCTGACCGTAACCAGTTTTACCTGTTATTCTTGCCGATGATTGACCTGCATTGGCCTTCTCTGATGTGTCTTGCCCCCTACCCACCCGCTGGGATGTGCCCATGCAGTGCCTCATTGTGAAAATCCTTGGTTTTTCATCCTTGTTTTTGAGGAACACATTTTTTCTAGCTCTCACAGGGTAGAGCTTCTGTCTTATTCTCCGTAACAAGACATCACAGGTTGTTAACCTTCTCTTAGAGCTGTGCCAGGAAGAGGACCCTTAAGGCTGTGTTTTGGGCTGTGCCAGCTCAATGCTGAGGAGGCATTTCCAGTCTCTGCTTTCTCCTCCCCCAATATCTGCACCTGGCTTTCTTCCTGGGTGACAGGTGGCCTGGGCGATGGCCCAGAGAGAACTCCTGTGATGCATAGATGGCTGGGACCTTCTGCCTCGAAAGCCTCTGAGTTTCTGATCTCTAAACCCTCCCTGGAAAACTCCCATTATTGCCGGTCAGGTTCCCTGGGGGATAGGTTTTCAGTTCTTGCTGACGTGTGACGTGAGTCATCACAGGGTAGGATTTCCACCTGAAACACGTCTTTGTGCTTGCCTTCCAGAGATTGTCGGAGCAGAACCACTGAGCACAAGCAGGCACTGCATCTTCAGCTGTCACTGAGCGTGCACTCCGGTTGGAAAAGCTGAGCTGGAAGCTTCCTGCCCACAGTGAGGCGGCGCGACCCACCTGCTCGCATAAGACATGGGCTGCCACGTGACTCCCTTCCTTTCCTACAAACTCCGGTTGCTCTTGCTTTTCACTTTGTGCCTGACGGTGGTGGGGTGGGTCACCAGCAACTACTTTGTGAGTGCCATTCAGGAGATTCCTAAAGCGAAGGATTTCATTACTACTTTCAAAAAGGCCGTGGTTTTGGGGAAGAAAGAAATTCTGGCTGACGAAGCCTCTGTGAAAAGAGCAGACCTGGACAACTGCCCTTCCGTCTCTCCACACCTCAGTGAGTAATTGCTTTTCTTTCTTTCTTTCTTTCTTTCTTTCTTTCTTTCTTTCTTTCTTTCTTTCTTTCTTTCTTTCTTTCTTTCTTTCTTTCGTCTTTTTTTACAAGTGCGACATAAATTTTTTTTATTAGATACATATACAGAAAAGTACGAAGACCAGAACAACTACGTTTCACAAAATGAACATACCTGTGTAGCCGGTATGTAAATTATGAAACAGAATTTTCATGGAACCCTAGGCGTCCCCTTGCTTTCAATCACGACCCTTACTTTAAGATTGTGACACCACCACAGAGTCCCCTGCTTTTGAACTCTGCATCCTTGGACACATGCACTGTGTACTACTTTGTGTCTGAACTTCCGTTAGTCAACGCTATGTTTGTGAGCTGTGCCCATATGGCAGATGTAGACTCTTCCACTATAGGTACACACCCGCTTTTATAATCTAGCCGCAAACGTCAACAGGATTGATTTATTTATCTCACACGTCTGTGACGTCAGTTGGTTTAGCCCAGTGGTCGGCAAACTCATTATCAACAGAGCCAAAAATCAATGGTACAATGGTTGAAATTTCTTTTGAGAGCCAAATTTTTTAAACTTAAACTTCTTCTAACGCCACTTCTTCAAAATAGACTCGTCCAGGCTGTGGTATTTTGTGGAAGAGCCACATTCAAGAGGCCAAAGAGCCGCATGTAGCTCATGAGCCGTGGTTTGCCGACCACGAGTCTAGGCTGGTGGCCCTGCTCCATGAGCTTGGGACCCTTCTGGGACCAGCGAGCTGGCTTGGGCACTCCTCTCCTGGCATCTGCCAACCACACGTGGAGAAGTACAAGCCAGGCAGGCCTCCTTTTGGCCAAGAGTATGGAGTGGAGGGACAGGACAGAGTCTGTCCTTCAGGGTTGCATTCAGTGCTTATTTCTTAAATATGTTGTATGTTCCCCTTTGATGTGTTGCCTTTCATTTTAAATCAACAGTAAATTGGGTTTAGTGAACAAGTAATTAGAGAGAACAGTCCCACTGTGATATTGTATGTAACCCACCAAGGTTCGAGCACACCTCTGATTCTTTAGGACATGAAATGCTGAGAGTCTGTCAGGCACTGCTCTGAACTTAGATATTGTTCCCTTTTCCCAGGATGCCTTTTCCTCAATTCATGTCTGCCTGGTGGATTCCTGTTCATTCACCCAAAGTCTAGCGTAGGTTTCTTCTCTCCCTGAAAGGTCTCTGGGACTGCCCCCGAGTTAATCTCACCCTCCCTGTGTGTCTGCCCATATTTCTGTTGTTGGGCTGACCACAGTGCGTTCACACGCTGGTCTTTCTTCCCCAGGGCACAGCGTGCGGGCAGGATGCAGGCAGGTGAGCCCTTCCAGTCTGCAGAGCCCCATGCCCCTCCCTGTCCTGCAGAGGTGGCTCTCCGTGTACACGAAATGAACTCTGAAGGACAGCCTGGGGCTCTTCAAGAGGCTTTTTGCTCTTAACTTTACAAAAACCTGCAGACCCACTTTCCTAATTGAATCACAGTCTTGTACTGTGTTTGTGTTGGCATGCTTCTCTCTACCTAGTCATGGAAAAGCCAAAATGTCATCCTGAATTGTGTGAGGGGATTGTTCTGCTCAGAAACTTCACAAGTTGGGATAGGAAAATGAGTTATTGAAATGCAAATCTGACCGTTTTATTCTCCTTGTTCAAAATCCTCACAGATATTTAAGCCATATCTGCATTTATAAAAATAGATGGACAGCTCAGGCCTTCGTTCTCAGTGGTTAGAGCATTGGCCTGTGCACTGAAGGGTGGCAGGTTTGATTCCTGGTCAAGGGCAAGTACCTGGTTTACAGTCAGAGAGGGAGCAGGAGGCAACCAATCGATGTGTCTCTCACATTGATGTTTCTCTCTCTCTCTCTCTCCCTCTCTCCCTTCCACTCTCTCTGAAAATCAATGAAAAAATATCCTCAGGTGAGGATTAACAACAACAAAAATAGATGGGTAGCGACACAAAACTGAGCAAGATTTAGAATAAGACATAATTAGAGATGGATGAAGGTGGGCCAGAAGGAACAAAAACTGAGGATGGTAGGGAGGCTGATAGAGGACGTGGAAGCAGGTACTGGAAGGTTAGGATCGTAAAATATTATGGCAACGAGAAAGGGAGCAAGGGAACTGGCTTATATCAGACCTGTTGCTCGGGGCTCTTTCAGGGGCCAGGAAGAGAGGCGTTGCAGGTTAACTCGGATGATGGGGTTTATTAACAGGCTACACAGGAAACCATCTCAACAGCCACACCAGCAGCTCCCAGAAGCTCTGTGCCCTGGCAGCTGCCAAGGAGCTTGCCTTTCTCCTTATTCCTTGTCTTAGTGTTTGTTTTTAGGGCCTCAGTGCCTTGCTGACTCTGGCCACATGCAGAGCCTTCACCAATTACTCTCCTTTGGTGGCTGGAGAGTCACTTGCCCTTGGTGCTGTTGGCAGTGTTTTTGTTTGTTGTTTTTTTTTAAAAATATATTTTATTGATTTTTTTACACAGAGGAAGGGAAAGGGTCAGGAAGCCAGAAACATCCCCTACTGGGGATGTGCCCACAACCAATGTACATGCCCTAAACCAGAATCGAACCTGGGATCTTTCAGTCCGAAGGCCAACGCTCTGTTCACTGAGCCAAACCAGTTTTGGCATGTTGGCAGTGTTTTAACTACTTCATGCTGGAGCCTGGTCTCAGCAGCCACAGCCAGGGAAGGAGATGGTCACAGGGAGCGAGGCACTGTGACATACGTAGGAAGGACCTGCAGTTGTTTGGCTCAGAAGAGGAGAGCACTACTTGCAAGCAACTTGAGATCTTACAGCCTGGCCGGTGTGTATGGAGCTTTAAGGAATGTGGCTCAGCTCCGTGTGCTCTGCCTCATTTCTAACCAGTCAGTACTCCCTGTTCATTCAGACCCAAGAGGAGGGTCCCTGGCTTCAGCCTGATCTTCAAAGCCTTGCATGACATTGGTTTTCATCCCACCAGGCTGCATCCGGACTCGCAGAGCACATGTTCCATCGGGGATGTCTGCTACCGTGGCACATGCCTGCCATTGCTGGGTTAAGGAGTGAGGCCAGTGTCTACATCCTTGCGCTGTTTTACCTCCTAAGAGCCCAGGGAAGGAGTGGAAAGGGGCCTTGTCCATGAGCTTGATCCCACGGAACACTCTTGATTTTGTGAGAGGCTTTACCCTCCTTTGGAACTTTGAGAAGGAAAAGCGGATGGAGCACATTTGAAGTTAGTCTAGTCCTGCCTTCTGCTTTTCACCAGGGTCATCAGGACAGAAGGCCTTTCTAATTTATGGCTGAATCACTGAGCCGAGGTTGGCTATCCAGCCACAAGGGAATGCACTTATATGTCACTTTCTGGCTTTTGTAGCCAAAAACCTGTGTCACATCGCTCTGCAGTTGTAGTTTATGACCAAATGAGGCTTTGCAGTAGTCATAATAAAAGCTGGCACTCATAGAGTGCCAGGCAGTGGTTCTAAGTGCTTACACGTGTACTCGCTCATGCCAGCCTATCAACCCTTAAGGAGAGAGCTACTGTTGATTCTTGTGTCCTGTTTTAATTGTAGGAGGTCAGAACAAGCTCTTTTTCAAGCCAGATCTTACTCTGGAAGACGTGCAGGCAGAAAATCCCAAAGTGCACAGAGGCCGCTATCACCCTGAGGAATGTAAGGCTTTGCAGCGGGTGGCCATCCTCATTCCACACCGGAACCGGGAGAGACACCTGATGTACCTGCTGCAGCACCTTCACCCCTTCCTGCAGAGGCAGCAGCTGGAATACGGCATCTACATCATCCACCAGGTGAGTGTGGGGATAGAGCAGGGCTCTGCCTCGGAGTCTCCTTTCTCTGAGGTACTCGGCCATCTGTCTATCTTGGTTAAAAGGAACATCACACTGTTGTCAAAGGAGGGATCTCTTACCTGGTTCATCCTTGAAAGGAGTGAAAGAAATTCTTGTGCCAGAGTGCAGCGTGATGGGGCTAAGTGCCGGGAAACTTCACAGCCTTTTCAATAAGCCTCTGGAGGAAGCCCGTTTTGTTGTGAGCCCTTCCATGTTCGCCAGTGGCTGCCCTACAGTTTCCCCCTGAGATATCCCTCCATTTCCCTCTGCGTTGGCCATACACCACACAATGAGATGTTGGAATTGTTTTGCATTATGGAGCGTGGCTACTCACGGGGGATCGAGACAGGATTTGACAGATGACTGCCTGTTAATAGCATGGGGTTCTATAAACCTCTCCATCATTCTGCCTTTAAGTTTGCCACTATTTATTATGGAAAACATGTTTAGTTTTCACTTTCTTTCCTCCCCCTCCCCTTTTTTTTTGTTTCTTGATTTACTTATTTGGCTTCCAGAAGCATGATTTAGTAGGAACACAGTAAGTGTCAGTGTTTGCTGCTTTTGAAGAGTTTAGCACAAAGTGGAGTGGGACATTAAAGATATCTTTATTTGGTATTAGTGTTTATTGAAAGAAAAATAAGGCATCCACTTAAATGGCCACATCTAGCTTTTCAAAATTGCCCTGGGCCATTCAAAAATTTCCCCTCAAATCCTTACAAATGCCAAAAATGCAAGCAGAAATCATTAATTGCATCCTTACTATTGATTATAACCAGTAATATTTGTTTAATGAAAAGTTTTGACACATTAGGGGGTATATATAGCTCTGCAATGTATATTTTATAATAAACTGGGGCTCTTAAAAATTAATGTGTATATATAATGCCTATTATTTTATTATTTGAAACAAAATTTTACTATTATATTGTTTTATAATTATTTTTGCTTTTAACATTGTTAGTCACTCTGAGTTTTTTCCTCGGGACAGCTACTCCCAATGTATATATTTTATGAGTAGAAAAGTGTTTGCTTTGGGTTAGTCTTTTCAGAAGAGTACTATGGAAACTTTTGAGAGAACTGCCTGTATTTTTGTTACGATAAACTGTTTATTGAGCTAGAATTGATTCTGAAGGAATTTGATCTAAACAGCCATGAAAATATTAATGCTGTGAAATCTTTTTCATGCTTTACTTCTGATCTTACTCCTGGTCGAAAAGTGTTCTTTTCTTACCCAATGATGAACCTCTTCTGGGGGGCAGTCACTGTGGAGATTAGCTTTCGCTGTTAAACATGAAAACAGGATTTTCTCACAGTGATTCCAAGAAACTTTAAAAAAATATATATATATATTTTGTTGATATTTTACAGAAAGGAAGGGAGAGAGATAGAGAGCCAGAAACGTCGATGAGAGAAGAGAGAAACATCGACCAGCTGCCTCTTGCACACCCCCTACCGGGGATGTGCCCGCAACCAATGTACATGCCCCTGACCAGAATCGAACCCGGGACCCTTCATTTCCAGGTTCGCTCTACCGCTCAACGCTCTACCGCTGAGCCAAACCGGCTTCGGCCCCAAGAAACTTTTAAGTAGCTTAGAAATACTATTGGTAACCTTTGTTTATTGGTCACAAACTTTTTTTCTTTAATTTCAATTTTTAATTTTTTTTAGGTTACTTTGTACCTGAGGATATTTTCCCACTGGTTTTTAGAGTGAGTGGAAGGGAGGGAAAGAGATAGAGCAACATCAATGCCAGAGAGACACATTGATTGGTTGCCTCCTATCTGCTCCCCAACCAGGGCTGGGGTTCAAGCCTGCAACCAAGGTCCATGCCTTTGACCAGAATGGAACCAGGACCCTTTACTCCACAGGCCAGTGCTCTGTCCACTGAGCCAGGCTGGCTAGGGCAGGTCATAACTCTTGGTCTTTTCTGGCAAGCTATGTTTCTTGGAAGCTTAGTGCAAATTGATTACATCGGATAAGATTGGGATGAGCTGAGAGTTGAACAGTGAAGCGGTGATACTTATCAGTATGACTAGAATGTAAGAAAGGTTTTGTAGTTTTACACGGAACAAATAAAGATATACTTTAACTTTTTTTAAGTTATTTTCATTTGTATTTCAAAACTATGGGGCCTTGAAAGCTTGTTTGGAGGTTCTAGCAGAGGAGCCAAGTTACTCATATACCCTTGACCGAAGAGAAGTCCTTTGCTCTATTGGGGAAGGTCACCCCGTTTGACAAAGAAGCGTGCAGCTTTGGGAGGGATGAGCACGGAGCGGTGAGGAAGGAAGAGGACACCCCCCTCACCAGCCAGATTATCACATCAACCTTGGTATTCAATGGGGTGACAGATGTCCCACCCAGATCGCCCTAACATTCATTTGAAAAAATAAAAAATTATATATATATAGTATCCCTCCAAAATGTATACACACACTTTGAATAATTATAAAAGCAGTGCTTATTAAAATACATTTCATTTTCAAAATTGAGCTGCCAGCTGTTAAAATGTGCATACAATGGTTAAAAATTGTGGAAAATAATGCATAATATAAATTTACCACCTTAACTATTTGTAAGTGTACACGTCAGTAGTGTGAAGTATATTCGCAGTGCTCACCCTATCTCTAGAACTTTTTCATTTTTCAAAACTGAGACTCTATGCCCATTAAGCAACAACTCATCTCAAGGTATGTTTTTCAGTTATGGAATTTAAGTATGTGTGAAGCATTAAGCAACAGGCTGTCTGTTATTGTTATTGCACCTATTGTCACTTCTTCCTGTCACTAGTTGTGTGCAGCAGGAGTAATTCATACCAGCTCCTGCATCTGACCTGGAGGGGGTCTCCCTGTGGAATCGTCTCAGGAGCTTTTCAGCTTTTCCCTTCTCTATCTGCAGGCCGGGAGTAAAACGTTTAATCGAGCCAAACTCTTGAATGTGGGCTTCATAGAAGCTCTCAAGGATGAAATATGGGACTGCTTTATCTTCCACGACGTGGACCTGGTGCCCGAGAATGATCTGAATCTTTACAGGTGTGAGGACCAGCCCAAGCACCTGGTGGTAGGCCGGAACAGCACTGGCTACAGGTAAGGCGGCTCTGCCCCTGGCCTGCTCGCCCTGGTGTCACCAGGGTGTGAGCGATGTCATGCCCAGAGAGTCTTAGGAAAATGAGATGTAGGAAAAATGGCACCTGACATATCTCTTAAAGTTCAAAACAGAAATATGAAAAATCAGATTTTTCCTTTGAGGACAAAAGCCCTAGAGAAGCTTTGACAGAGGAGCCCAAAGAGGAAAGGGAAAGAAAGGAGGGAAAATAATGCAGGCATTGCAAACCAGGGCCAGTCTCCCCTGCAGACCCACACACTGGAACTTTTTCAAGCTGCCCCCTCTCTCCCCTCCACTGTGCAGAATTCAGGTAACTTACCTGTCTGGCCTTGATTTCCCCCTCTTTGAGGCAACAGATGTGTGCCCCTTAGTTCAGCTCTTCCACCTCTGTAGTGAGAATGGGTCGTCTCTTTCTACATGGTGGCCTCTTTCCCAGGTTCTGAGGGAGGGGAGTATCTGCTGAGCAGTCAGCTCAGGAGCCAGAACACCCAGGATAAGTTCCTTTTCTCAAAGCCACTGTGGGAAGTGCGAGGCACCCCCATTTCTGTCTTCATTCCCCATTTCTTGTGCCCCCCAGGAGAGGGATATCTGCCTTTCAACCTTATTTTATACCAGCTTCTATTTAAGCACAGCCTAGGGCAGTGGTCGGCAAACTCATTAGTCAACAGAGCCAAATATCAACAGTACAACGACTGAAATTTCTTTTGAGAGCCAAATTTTTTAAACTTAAACTTCTTCTAACGCCACTTCTTCAAAACAGGCTCGCCCAGGCCGTGGTATTTTGTGGAAGAGCCACACTCAAGGGGCCAACGAGCTGCATGAGGCTCGCGAGCCACAGTTTGCTGACCGCTGGCCTAGGGGAAATAATAAGCAAGAAAATTCTCTACGAATGAACTGTATATTCACTTCTGTGTGTGCACACTTCCCTGTCAGCTTCCCCAGAGCCTGCCATTCCCATGTGCTCATGTCTGTGGTGCTCACTGTACTCCAGCCACGAGACACTTTGAATAGGCCCATTGCCTGCCCTCCGAGGGCTCCCTGCTGTATGCTGGTGGGGAGACAGCTACCGTGGAGTTGCATCAATTTTGCATTTAACTTAAGTTTAACTATGAGCACTTGATAATGACTGGGGGAAGGAGGAGGAGAAAAAGCTGTGAGGGGGTGAGGATGCCCTGTGCTTGAATGAGGGCAGGTGCGGTGGGGCCACAGGGCTGGGGAGGTTCTGGAAGAGAATCACGGGTCTGAATCTCATTATCTGGAGGTTTCGTTTTCTGATCTCTGAGCCACCACGGCCTTGATGAAAGAAGTATATCATGGCAGGGCACCGTGTATTTTCAGGAACACATAAAATAATCTGTTCCCTTGTGTATTAATATGTTTGAACTGTCTACAGCTCAGCATACCCGTATGTCAAACCCTTGACATAGATACTGAGCAAACATCTGTGGTGAGAAATTACAACTGCACAGGATTTATTTTTCCAGTGCGAAACACAGGATTGTTTTAAGCACTGGTCTTTTGTTGGAATTCTAGATTTTATGTTAAGCTGGACCACAAAAACTGAGTTCTTGGGCATTGCTGCTGGGAATTGATTTTGAATAAAATTTCCATGTCAAAATCATGGATTTCATCAGAGGCTACTCACTCTAAAAACAGCCCCTGGCCTGGCCAGTGTGGCTCAGTGGTTGAGCTTCAACCTATGAACCAGCAACTCACGGTTTGATTCCTTCAGGGCAAATGTCCTGGTTTTGGGCTCAGTCCCCAGTAGGGGGCATGCAGGAGGAAGACGATCAATGATTCTCTCTCCTCATTGATGTTTCTATCTCTCTCTCCCTCTCCCTTTCTGAAATCAATTAAAAAACAAAACAAACAAAAAAACCCAGCCCCTGTACAAATATTGCAGTTTTGACTTGCTATTGTAACTGGCCAGACAATTCTTTTATAACCATCAGAGAGCCTTTATCTTTTTTTGAGTAACTGGCAGGTTTTCCTAATGTGAATCAGGGATTGAATGTGTCCTCCTTTTTCTTCTGGTTGCAAGAAGCTCTGAGCCAAGTTCATCTCCTTTTTATTGAATTTATTGAGGTGGCATTGGTTAATTAAGTTATATAGGTTTCAGATGTATAATTCTATACTACATCGTCTGTATATTGTATCATGTGTTCAAATCTTCTAGCATCATTTATCTCCCCTTTACCCTCTTCTCCATATCTTTCTTTTTAAAACTAAAAAGAATATTTTAAAAAACTATATATTTTTAATTGATTTCAGAGAGAAGATAGAAACATCAATGATGAGAGAGGATCATTGATTGGCTGCCTCCTGCGGCCTCCTGCTAGGGGTTGAGCCCACAACCCAGGAATGTGTCCTGATCGGGAATCAAACTGGGACCTCCTGGTTCATAGGTCGATATTCAACCATTGAGCCACATCGGCCAAGCAGAAAATAATCTTATTTGCAGATTTTAGTTCTAATATATTTCCCACCTTAATCTTCTCATCAGGTTGAAGTTTTCCTCTGGTTCTGGTTTGTCGTTTATATTTCTTTGCTTTGTTATATTTAAAGTAGTGGCCCAGTGCATGAATTCGTGCACCTTGAAAGGAACTGTGGGCCATGAGGCTGCAGTGGGCACAGGGGCGGGTCTCGGCCCATCTTCCATACCCCCATCTGGCCAGGCATCCTGTCTGCCAGCAGCCCCACTCTTGCCACCACCGCTTCCATGCACTGATGAGCCCATTCCATTTGCACCTGCTGACAGCACGGAGTGATTGGGGCTGGTGCCAGTAGCAGGTGTGAGTGGGGCCAGTGCCACGCAGGTGAGAGTGACAGCGGCTGCCCTGATCGCCCCTCAGGAGCAGGGGGAGGTGGAGAAGCCCTCAGGGGTGATCGGGCTAGTAGCTGCCTCTCACACCCACTGAGGGTGCCAAGTGATTGGGCTGGCACTGGGTGCTGGCAACCGGTGCAAGTGGTGTAGAATTACACCATTTTCCTTTTTCGTTTTCCTCATGGAGTCCACCTAAAGGTGTCCCATTTTTCTACCTGTCTGAATCCTCTGCTGTGTGACGTCTCCTTCCTCAGAATCCTGATACGCTCACCTCTTGTTAGACTATAAACCCTGAGGGCAGGGCCCAGGGATTACAGAGTTTAGCCAGCCATTTGCTCAGGGCGCACAGTGGTTTCTCATGGATCCCTATCAGATCATCAGTGCTGGTTTTCTCCTGGTGCCCACTCCATGGTGTTTGGCAATTTAGGCCTGGGCCCTTCTTCCACTCTGCCCTGATGAAGCTACTGGTCTTTAGTAGTTAAGAGTCTATTCCCAGTAAGATTCCAGTAACCATGGCAATAGATCACTGTCCTAGATGTCTTGGGCAGTAATATCTGCCTTCTGAGCACTTTCCTTTTGTTTATTTTAGGTTGTAATTATACCACTTTCTAGAATTCTAGTATTTAAGTAAATCTGTCTCCATTATGGGTTAAACAGAGTCCTCCCCATTTGTAGGCAGAACATAGAAACAAACTGTTGAACCACAAATTACCTGTTAGACGGCACGTGTCTATGTGTTTATTGATCTCTCCTTTTGGTTTTTCTTCTTATCTGGAAAACCAGAAGCATTTCATAGGTCCTAGAGCACTTTGAACCAAAGTTAAAGTTTCAAATCCTCCAAATATGCACATCCTTTTATTCATTGACATCTAAGTTATTAAGCTGCCTTCATTTGCATTTCTGAATTGTTGCAGTGTTATCTTGAGAGATAACTTTATTTCTCAGCTATGCTAATTAGTCCACCCGTAATCATAAGAGAGCTATGTGACTGGGGGGTACCTTCTGGTCCCTCTTGATCTTTTCTCTTTCCCCCTTTTTCTTGAGAATATCTCCATGGCTCCCCCTTCTGTCCTCTTCTCACCTGTTGCACTGTCCTTGGCAGTGCATTTCCCCTACCCCTGCCCTCCAGGTGCCACCTCTTGACAGCTTATTTCCACAGCCTCTCTTCACTTTTGAACTTGGACCCCAAATCCTTTTGACCACCAGGGATATCCCAGACTCCACTCACTCAAAACATAATTTACTGACTTTCTTTCAAAACCTAATCGTTGTTCTGTATATTCTGTTTCTGTGAAAGCCACTATCATCTACCTAATTGCTCAAACCAGAAACGTCATGGTTAGTTGAAGTGTATTGGGTTCTTCAGGAACAGACTCTGAGATGGAGATTTGCATGCTGGGAGTGGAAATTTGCATGCGATGTGTGAGCAGGAACCATCTCCTCTCTCTCTACACCCACCCAAAACAAAGTGAGAGTGAAAATACCAGTATATTCTCTATGACACTTATTCATGCTGAACCTGGGTGCAGCTTCAGAATTCTTCTTAACCCAGTGCCCTGTAGCTACGACTACTCATTGGATTGGCAAATGGGGAGACATCTGTCATCCACACCTTACGGTATGGTGCGCACTCACAGGTACTTCTGTCGACCTCCGCACACAAACATTAAACGTGAACAATAACAGGTGGGTGGCACCTTGCTTAGTGAGGAGATGTGAGCACTTGCCTAGACAGGAATGGAGGCCAGACAGGCAAGGCCAGGAATGCCAGGAGGCGGGTGCCCAGCAGGACCGGATGGTGGAGGGCATGGTCTTCAAGTGTTCCTAGAATGCCAGCCCCGAATTTCTCCAGTGTCTGTGGAGAACAAAAAATCTTCGTGCTCATGTTCTTACTTTTCCTCTCTTCTGCTGCAGGTTGCGTTACAGCGGATATTTTGGGGGCGTTACTGCCCTAAGCCGAGAGCAATTTTTCAAGGTGAATGGATTCTCTAACAACTACTGGGGATGGGGAGGCGAAGACGATGACCTCAGACTCAGGTGAACAACAGAGACAGGTCCCCTTCACGGGGCTCTGTGGTCCGTGGTGGCTCTGGGACCCTCTGCGTCATAGTTCCTATAGATGCCAGCCCAACGGGGCACGAGGCTGCAGATTTGGGCATAAAGGGTGTCTGGGGTGGAGGGAAGGTGCTCAAATTGCTTTTTGACCCTGGCCATGCGGAAATGATGGAAGGTGGCCTGCTCCTGGCTCGCGGGTGTTAGGGGCCCGCAGAGTGGACGAAGGTCTCGGTGGACCTGTCCGTGAGCACTGCGTACTGAGAAGGGTCTCCCCGGTGAATGCAAAGCTGCCATTTGAGGAAAGTGGCCAGAGGGCTCGTTATAAGCCTGTGCTTTCTCTCAGACCCCGGGGAATCCTGCCGGTTCCCAGTGCCCAGAGCAGGGCGTGCTCACAGCCTGTGGTGCTGCACACCTGAAGCCGGCCAAGAGGTCCTCTCCGTTAGGCATTAGCCAGCCCCACATACCCTGGGAGCAGCTGCTGCCTGCCTCCCAGACTGATCGATCTCCGGGCTGCTAGCATTACCCTCAGGTTCTCCTGGGCTGCTCTCTGCCCTGAGGGGTTCAGAGGGAATGTATCTTACCCCTTCTCTCCGCTCTCCTTCCCCTGAGCAGGGTTTTATAGCCTGATAGCTATCAGTGTCCCTATCTCCCAGAGATAAGTAATTATTCAAGAGCCTGGGGCCAGTATCTTTAAAATATATGTACTTTTATTTATTTCAGAGGGGAAGGGAGAGAGAGAGAGAGAGAGAGAGAGAGAGAGAGAGAGAGAGAGAGAGAGAGAGAGAGAGAGAGAGAGATAAAAACATCAATGATGAGAGAGATTGGCTGCCTCCTGCACACCCCACACTGGGGGGTCAAGCCTGCAATCCAGGCATGTGTCCTGACCGGGAATCGAACTGTGACCTCCTGGTTCACAGGTCAATGCTCAACCCCTGAGCCATGCCGGCGGGCTAGGGCTAGTGTCTTTAGACTTATAATAACAAGGCCTTCCTGGTTATCAGGGGACCCCCATTCCGTCTGCCATTGTTTCTTGGGAAGGAACTCTGTTAGCTGGGGTTCTGAATTAATATATATGTGACTGTCAGAACTTTGCCCTTGCTTCAGCCGAAAGAAGCCAGGGCTCCCTGCTGGTCTTGTCCCCGTGCGCAGGCTTAGAGTCTGGGATGTTTCTAGCAGGAGAGGAGTGGGTTTCCCTGACCAGAGTCTCCATAGGAGTGGCCATGTGACGGGCAACAGCTCTGCAAGGCCTGAGTGGCTGGGGCTTATGAAGTGGACAGAGGACGACCGCTACATTTCAGGGCACTAGTAGCAATGGCTAGAGGCAAACGACGCCCATCCTCTTCCCCAAGTCCACTTACTGCCCAGATGGGATGGGTAGTAGGATTTTGCACTGATCATGTATCATCACTGTCCCTTTTCCCGCTGCTCCTTGGCTGCAAGGTCCAGGGGAGCACCCAGTTTTGATCTTGTTTGATAAGGACATCAGGGCCTTCGGCATGGATTCTCAACCAATGCCATGGATGATTAGATGATTTCAACGTAAAAATTGGTTGCGATTTATTTACTAAATATTGTTTGGCTCACCTGTGCAGCAGTCACCACCCTTCTTTGCATGTCTGTATCACATTGCAGTTTGCAAAGCATGCTCCCGTAGACTCTCATTTGAGTCTGTCTGACCACCTCTGTAACACCCTTGGTATTTTATATATGGAAAACCAAGACCTAGAACAATGAACCCACTGACCAGGATCATAAATAACAAAGTCTAGATTTGAATCTACGTCCTATGGGTCTATAGCTTGTGACTCTAAAAGATCGTTACTTTGTATAAACGACGAAGTGTTAAGTAAACTGGGATCCTGAGAGACTTGATTCTCCTATTTGTCACACTTTAAAAAAGTTATTTTTCAATTTCAATTGACATACGATATTATATTAATTTAAGGTGTACAACATAGCGATTATATACATTTATATACCTTAAATCATAATGTTTTAAAACATGTACTTTCTCAGTTGCTTTTGGAAAATGGTATACTATAAATTGACACATCTCCTTTGTACCCCCAAAATAAATGTTAAGTGTGATCTTTTTGATGGACTTACTGCTTGAGGCCCTACATTATGAGAAAACTAGAGGCCCTGTGCATGATATTCTTTCTTTAATATGCAAACAAGCAAGCTATGTGTGACTCGTGTGTGTGACTGTGTGTGTGTGCGCACCTGTGTATAAATTTTTACAAATATTTCTGTTTAAGTGCCTAGTGGTAGGTAAGTAGACCAGACTTTTTTTTTTTTTTTAACCTCCTGTGTTCTTTGTCTAGGGTTGAGCTTCATAGAATGAAAATAATCCGGCCAATGCCTGATGTGGGTAAATATACAATGATCTTCCACACTAGAGACCCAGGCAATGAGGTGAACATAGGGCGGTAAGTCCTGGCTTCCGAGCCTTGCCAGCTACTTGCTTTGCTTAGTCCCTTCTGTCAATATTGGGCACTGAGGAATCTGATCAGATGAGCCAGTTTATTTTGTTCAAAGCTTTTTTATTGGGGTAATTTTCAAACAGACAACAGATGATATGTTTTTATTGATTTGTAGAAAATGGAAAGGAAAGAGAGAGAGAGAGAGAGAGAGACAGAGAGAGAGACAGAGAGAGAGAGACAGACAGACACTTGCCTCCCCAACATTCCTCGACTTAGGGATTGAATGCACAACCTGCATATGTATCCTGACCAGGAATCAAACCCACAACCTTTTTGGTGTATGGACAACACTTCAACCAACTGAGCCACCCGATCAGAGCTCCCCTATCTTTTAAAATAGCATTAAAGGGCTTTTGGCCTTTTTGTTGAAGTTTACATTTTTCTTTTTAAATCTTTCTTGTTGAAAGTCTTACATATTTCCCCTCTTCCCCCCATTGACCCTTTCTAGCCTGGCTCCACCCCTCTGAAGTCTACATTTTAAAACAATATTAGTGTTACAATCTTTTTGTTAGAATCTACCACTTTAACAAAATAAATATTTCTGCTTTCCCTTTGTCTTACTAATCTCTGTCCATAGGCATGCATCTTTCTCTTTAAATAAAAAAAATTATTATTGAATAGATGAGAAAGAATACTTATAAATTATATGAAAATTCTGAAGATTTTTTTTCCCCCCTGAAGATTCTTGATACCATGAACACTAGTGGTGTCCTCTACCCAATGTATGCCTATTAGCTGTGAGGCTCTCCCTATATCTGCTCCCCACGACAGGAGGCAACCATTTCCTGAAATTTTGTGATAATTATAATTATTTGTGCTGTTTCTTGTTTTCCCATATATTTGTATTCCTACACAAAAGATTGTTTAATTTGCATGTTTCTCAATTTTCTGTAAGTGAAATCCTGCTGTTTTATCTTCCCCTGACTTTATTTAGCTCAACATTGTGCTTCTGATGTCTATCCACATTGTTTCTGTAACTGAAGTGGATTGCTTTTCTCTGCTGGGCTCCTGGGACCAGCTCAGTTCATCACCCTCGTTACCCACATCACAGGCTCTGGCCACACACCTGCTTAGTTATTCTCCTTCAGATGCATTCTGCTGTCTGCGTGCCTGTGCATCTTGCACAGGGTGGTTTCTCTTCCTGGGAGTCCTTTCCCTCGTCTTCTTCATGCAGTGAATTTCTCCTCTTTTAAGCCTCAAATTTTCCTTCTCTGCAGCCCCTCTCCAGACTCGGTCATGAAGTGAGGTGCCCTTAATTCATCCTTCTCTCCGTACATCTAACTTCGTTGGAGATTCTTAGGAAAGTTGTGTACACTCCTTGCATACAGACGTCATTTCCCCAACAACAATGGAGGATTCATAGATCCCCTGAAGCCTATACAAGGACCTGTTAGCAGAGGACAATACGTATCACACTGTATCAATGTACATTGTACCTGTACATCCTTCTGTCCACAGGCTAGGGGCTCACTGTGGGCAAGTGTCCTTATTATACGACACGTCATCATTGGTCTCCAGGGTCTCACATGGGGTCAGGCACAGGAACACATGGCTGTCATTGATGTCCTTTACCGTAGGAGGGGAAAATAAACTTTCTTTGCAGTAAGAAACCCAAGGGCTATAATAATATACCAAGATGCTTTTGCGAAATTTTGTGGCAAGGCAAAAAACGATGGGAATATATGTTAAATCTTGTCTTACACATTTATTCTTTTTATCTTTAGGATGAAGCTCTTACATCAGGTGTCACGAGTCTGGAGGACAGATGGGTTGAACAGTTGTGTTTATAAATTACTATCCGTGGATTACAATCCTTTATATGTCAACATCACAGTGGATTTCTGGACTGGCCCATGACCATGGATTGTCTGGTGATGTTCGGAAGAACTGGATATTTGATTGCAATAATTTGGGCCTAGAGACTTCCCCTAGAAGCACACATTTAGAACGTGCTGCAGCTAATTATTGAGCTGAACTTTTCCTTTTTGTATTTTCTTAGTAGAGCTCCTGGTGAGATGGAACATAATGCAATAGTAACAAAACAGCTTTCTTAGTTGTTTTGCTCATGAAGGTTAAAATATTGCAATAGATACTTGAAGGACTAAATGTAAAAGGAAGACTCAAAAGCTATCATGCAGGCTACTTGAGAACACTAATGGAAGGAGATTTATTTAGGTTTGAAGTGATTCATTGTGGGATAAAAGAGGCCACCGGAAATAAGATTGCTGACTGTCCCAGAGAACCAGAATTGTCCTCCCTGGAGGGAAAAAGGTACGAAGATATATTTCTGTCCTCATTTATCCTGCATGGCCATCAGTGAAGAGGCTGGTTCTGGTGAGAGGACAGTGGCAGAAGAGGGGTGAAAAGGTGACGAGCCAAGATGCAGTGGACTTGGGAACTTACGAAGTGGCGGGGGGACAGGGCCAGATGGAGAGGCAGCAGCCACAATGCTGCTGCTAATCCTGTCACCTGCCCGGATACGCCTTCCAGGAAGACTCCAGCAGAAGACACATTATCTACTACTTTTTCAGTCGTTTTGTAAAATGATTTTGTACATGTAGGGTATGAATGAGCTGTTTACAAATTACATAGTGACTAATAATACATTGAAAATACCTCTTCAGTAAAAGATAAAAAAAAGCTTTGGGTGCGCAATCTTGTTTACTGTTGTGTGAGGCCCACAGACGTGTTGATTTCAGTATCCAAAATCCTAAGCAGCTTAAAAACAAAACAGAGGCGACCAGCCCTCCCGCTCCCCCTCTTCCTCATCTCCTGTTCCTCCCTGCCCTTCCTGTGTACATCTAAGGAAGGTAATAGGAGATGGGTACTGAGTCAGAAAGAAAAGTATTTGGTTTGCGTAGGTGAATGGACCCGTAAATAGTGTAGATGTGGATTTCTTAAGGATTGTGCAACTGCGCCCCGGGGTCTCTCAATCCGTCATTATTATGTGACACTTGGTTAAATTTTAACATGAATGGGTGCCAACCAAACAGGGAGAGGGAGGGAATGGGGATCTCAAGAAAGATAGCAGTCACCACCCAAGTGGAAAAGGAGAATTGATGGGGAAATACATCTTATAGACATGACAGGCTTACCTAGGGCTGGCTTGGGTTACCTTTAACTCTGTAGGGACAAATAAGTGTTTTCTTTTTCTTTATTAGCACAGAAAGAATGATGGCTTTCGTTTTTCTCCTCTCTTTTCTCTTTCTTTTTAACAGAATCTTTCTTTGGCATTCTGTTCCAATTTTCTTCATTATCACAATATACAGACTGAACTGTTGTAATGGCCAACCCCCAATGAAAGGCTCCCCAATTTGGAGGCTGTGAGTCCCTGGCCATCATTGAGGAGGGTAAAGCAAGAGACTGTGTGCAAGGAATTTGAAGATCAATATTTGAGAATTCCATTTTTTAGTCAATGGAAATGAAATACTGTTACTGCCATGTGGGGATTCCCTGTGCATTTTCATCTATTAACAAAGCATCTGCATTTTTAAAAATATATATTTTATTGATTTTTTACAGAGAGAAAGGGAGAAGGGTAGAAAGCTAGAAACATCAATCAGCTGCCTCTTGCACACCTCCTACCAGGGATGTGCCCGCAACCAATGTACATGCCCCTTGACGGGAATCGAACCTGGGACCTTTCAGTCCACAGACTGACGCTCTATCCACTGAGCCAAACTGGATTCAGCAAAGCATCTGCATTTTTAATTGTTAGTAATCACTGTATTATGCCTACTACTATTCTTCAGATAATTCTTATAATACTTTTACTAACATAATGTCCAAGTCATTTAAATGACTCATGAAATTTCTTGAGGTGGAAGATAATTAAAACATTTTTCGTTTTGTTAATCTTCACTGGAGGATATTTTCCCATTGATTTTTAGAGAGAGAGAGAGTGGAAGGGAGAGGGAGAGACAGAGAGAGAAACATCAATGTGAGAGAGACATATCGATTGGTTGCCTTCTGCATGTGCCCTGACCAGGCCTGGGAGGATCCTACAACAGAGGTGTGTACCTTTGTCTAGAATGGAGCCTGGGACCCTTCAGTCTAAGGGCTGACACTCTATCCACAGAGCCAAACAGATTAGGGCAAGATGATTTTTAAAGATCTTTATTTCCCCACTGTACCTCTGACCTCATGGGAATGAAGCCCAGGGACTGGCTGGAGGCATGGGGCTGCTCTCCCAGGCAGGGGAGTTCCGTCTCCTTGGAGCAGAGCTTTCCCCTTATTCCTGCCTCCTGTATGTCCCATTGTCAACTGCCACTAAGAGGCCATGGTTTCTGAGTATTGTAGATGTGCCTGCCATATTTGCTAAGGATTATCTGGATTTAGTCTATTTGGACATCAAAATACTTAGCATGAAGACTGTTCTATAAGATTTCATTGTTTTTTTTTTTTCTTTTTTCTCATACTACCATGCATTGTACTCTATGGCTTGTAGTGTTTTTACATGCACTCTCTTGATACTGTTGAATCTTGAGATAAGTAGGGTAGATGAGGAAGTGGGGGTTAAAAACAGTTGGGGGGTCTTGCCAGAAGTCCCTCGGCCAGTAAGTGGCAGACTCAGGAGGATACAAACTCAGGTCTCCTGTCCACAGATCATTACACAATACTAGAGGCCTGGTGCATGAAAATTCATGCATTGGAGGGGTGGGTCCCTCATCCCGGCCTGCCCCCTCTCACAGTCCGAGAGCTCTCAGGGGCAGGAGGCAACCTGGTGATCAGGGGAAGGTGACGCCCCATCACACCTCTGCTGCTATCATTGCTGGTAGCGCAAGCCTCGGCTGACCCTGGTTAGCTGAGCCTTGTGCGGCCCTGGATGGCTGAGCAGCCACCATCTTTCAGGGCACGGCAGTCAATTAGCATATTCTCTACTTATTGGCTGTGGGCGCTGCCATCTTTGTGACGGCATGACAGTCAATCAGCATATTTCGTGTGTATGTGTTTTGTTTTTTTTTGAAACTTTCTAGTAAAAATGTAGGTATATACATATTGCAAAGAAAAAACAGATTCAATTGAGTAATTCACCAAAGTCAGTAAGAGAAAAAGATAAGACTTGAACCCAGGTCTCTCTTGACTCCAATATGTGTGTGTGTGTGTGTGTGTGTGTGTGTGTGTGTGTGTGTGTGTTTGCCCTACATTGACAGGAGATTATGAAATTTTTCTGTGAAGGCAGCATGGGCAGAGCTATCATTTGTAACTAAAAATAATACACAAAGCCCTGGCTGGGGATGTCAGTTTGTTGGAGTGTTGTCCTGCACACCAAAAGGTTGTGGGCTCGATTCCTCATCAGGGCACATACCTGGGAAATGGGTTCCGTCCCCTGTCAGGACATGTGCAGGAGGCAATTGGTCAAAATTTCTTTTTTTTCTCTCCCTCTTTAAAAATTAATAAAAAACATGTCCTTGGGTGAGGATTAAAATAACAACACAGAACTTGAGATGTATCCACTAAAATGTCTTATCTTCATGACCCTCATACATTCTTCCACTATGGAGTAGGAGTTTTGCTGAAAAGCTATTACTCATAACTATTGTTTGAGAGCCAATTAATTTGGACCAATATATTTGGTCATTAAACGTACTGCAATAAATTGAAGCAAGATGACATTAGTTGGCATGTTCCCAGGGATTTCGGGCCAAGTGGAGTTCTCCTGTCGGCATCTCTTACAGGCTGTTAGCCATTCTGATGCACACTTTGCATATATTGCGGAACCCTCCCAGATCTGTGTGAGGATAGACATGCTTTCCTGAAGCAGTTGCTGGGAGGCCAGGTGATCTGCCATAGCCATGCAGAGCTGGGGTTCGGAGCCAGGTATTTGACTCCAAAGCTCTTGTTCTTAATTACTTAATGGCAACAGACGACAAATACACAAAGAGAGAAAATAAGGGTGGGCGATTGGAGAGTGTCATGTCCTTTTTTAAAAAAAATTTTTTTTAAATATATTTTTATTGATTTTTTTTTTTTTTTTTTTTTTTTTTTTTTTTTTTTTACAGAGAGGAAGAGAGAGGAATAGAGAGTTAGAAACATCAGTGAGAGAGAGTCACTTATCAGCTGCCTCTTGTACACCCCCTACCTGGGATATGCCCACAACCAAGGTACATGCCCTTGACTGGAATCGAACCCGGGACTTTTCAGTCCGCAGGCCAGTGCTCTATCCACTGAGCCAAACTGGTTTTGGCTATCATGTCCTTCAACCAACAGCCCCCAGGAACACATCTGCAGATAAATAAACTGGGATCATGACTCACTGCAGGGAGGGAGGACATACCACGAGGAACAGTGAGGTATCTCAGGCCGAGGGAGTTAGAAAGAACCGGTGGGAGCACGTGGGCTTGGCTTGGGTCATTTGGGGAGGGTCTGAGGAAGCAAGGTGGGATACGGCTCTAGGGGATCCTGTCAGAAAGCAGGGACAGTTCTGTGGCTGAGCACTTCAGTACGTTTTATCCACAGGGAGGGACTAGCAGGAAACTAGAGCTGAAATAGGTGAACACATAATAGCCACTCATCTCAGCCAAGAAAGGGTGTGGAGCACTTTGTGGGGGCATGGTGACCTTGTGTGTATCTGTGCTTACACAGAATTGGGATGTGGCCTTGTTTTGCCTCCTTTTATCTTGGCCACAGAGTAAGCTTATCTGAGGTTGGGATTCTATGAGATTGCTTATATCTAATAGGAGAACAGCATGACCCAGTTGTGAGGGCCAAGCTAGCTTCTCACTGTCAGGGGCTTCTCTCTTTTTTCTTTTTTCAAGATGAACTCAGAGTAGAAGCCATTAGAAAGTAGGGAATGATGGCACCATTTCCCTTTAACCCAATTTTCTCCTGTGTGTGTGTGTGTGTGTGTGTGTGTG